ATGCTGACTCTGTAAACCGATTAGAGAGGGCTGAAAGCCCTATGAAGTGGTATATAAGTCTAACTATTGCTATTGCTTTCTTAGATGAATCAAAAAATCTTACAAAGGGATCCTTACTTCCAAAAGCCAGTTGAACAGATGGACTGCCAGCAGTTCTATTCTCAGCTGTCAAAGTTGACTCAGCCTTCCATCCTTCTGAAGTCAGTAAAATGAGAACCCAGGTTGTTGGGGACAATAGGCTGACTGTAAACCCCGTAGAGAAAAGTATCAAGCGGTATATAAATCTAAGTGCTATTGCTAGTATTCGCACACCAACTATGGGAGCAACAAATTTATCGGGCAACCAAAATATACAACACAGCCTGCCGCTGACTTCCTGGCCCAGAAACCGCAGCAGTTCGTGTGAAACAAGCAAAATCCGAAGAAGAGGACATAAGAGTCAGGTCAACTCCTTCGGAGGGCATCTCCCAGGGGGAATGTTTGCTCAGCCGTCCCGAAAGCTGCTTTCAATTTATCTTGCCGGAGATGCGCTCAAGGCCAGTTCGCAAATGACAAGCGGAGTTCAGCAGCGACGGGAAGGAAGCCTCAACAGCTGGACAAAACTCCCGTGGATGCAGCCGGGGGAGCCGAGGCCGGGAACTCCTGGACTCTCCGCTGTTAACCCCCCAAGCTCTGGGTCCCATCCAAGACCGCTCGCCCTCCGCGGCTCCAGTTCGGCAACTGCGGCCGAGAGCCAGAGCCGAGAAGGAGGCGCTAGGGCCCCGCCGTGCCTGAGAACCGGGCCGGCCAGGCGGGCGAATCGAGGGGAGGGACCCGTCTTACGGCAGCCCCAGCCGCGGGATCCAACCCTCGCCTAGCAGCCCGGCAGCCGGACATCCTCGCCCAGCGACGCGCCGGTCCTCCCTGGCCATGCAAGGCGCAGCCCCAGCGGGGACAGACGAGCTCCGGGCAAGCGAAGCGGCTCGGCCGGGGCTGCCTTCGAGCCGAGCGTGACGGCCGGGGAAACCAGCTGCGGGGACGGGCGGGCGCCTGTCGGAGCTGCCGAGGTCCCCGGGGCGCTCCGAACGCCGAAGGCTGCGGTGCGAGCAGGCGAGGATGGGCTGAGGATGGGCTGGCAGCCTCTGCCGTCGAGGATGCTCTGGACCGGCGCCCTGCTCCTGCTGGCGGCGCTGGGGGGCGCGGGCGGGGCGCGCAGTTGCCCCCTCCAGCTGCGGGGCTGCAAGTGCGTGGGCGAGAGGCCGAAGGGCTTGGCCCCGGCCAGGAAGCGGGTCAGCTGCAGCGGCGAGGAGCTGAGGGAGCCGCCGGCGCCTCGCTTGCTGCCCAACGATACCGTCACCCTGTGAGTAGCAGGACGAGGCTTGGGGAAGGGGCGGGAGGGCTGGTGGCAGCCGATCCTGGCTCTCTGCGCGCGCTCAGAGGCTACTCGTGCAAGCTGAGGCCAACCCTCGCTCTTTGCAGCTGCCGAAGCGGATTTCGCGCTCTGCACGTGCTCAGAGTCTTATTGAAGGGTGGGGAGCTTTCCTATTCTGTAAAGCCCGGGGCTCGAAGGGATGGGGTGGGAGCGGGTTTCAGGTAAG